GGTGCGGCCATAAAATCATTGTAAATTACAGAAAAATCAATTTACTTATAAAGGGCCTATTAGTGGCTGAGTTAATTATGCCAGAAATAAAATGAATAAAAAAAGAGAAAAAAAATTTAATTATAGAAAGAAGTAGAACAAGGAAAATATGAAATTTGTCGAAGCAAATAAAGTGAACTTTGGCAAGAAACGCCGCTGAAGTAGCTATAAGTATCTATGCTGTGAGCTTGTAATACGTATACCGTTCTTCTGTTTGCAATATAAATGATTAATATTGTTGTTGCAGGCACACGTCTTAATGGACTATGCATCTTGTATGTCAGTATTGCAGAACAAGTTGTTAATATACTCACAACTGAAAATGTTCAATTAGTAACAACAATAATGTGTAAAGCAAAAATATCTATTAAAATAAACATTGTGTAAAAAGTTAGCTAAATAGAACGATTGCTGCAATAGCAATCCAAATTTAAACAACAGTGATTTGAGTTTATAGAAATAACTAAGAAAATAAAATATTAAGAAAATAAAATAAGAAAAAAGAACGCCAATGTTACACTACAAATGCATTTGTCCTATTCCTTTAACTTTACATTAAATATGAGGTAAATCCATTTACTATAATTATACGTACCCGAAGTCAATTATTATTAATAACTTATTAACCTAACTCAAATATAAACATTAAAATAAAGAGCACCGGCCAAAGTGCCTGTTAGCAGCACCAAATACGTAAAAAAATTCGAATAAAATATTACAAGTCTTAGAAAAAAAAAAAAAAATAAAAAAAAAGCTGAATAGTAAATGTAAGACTGAATGGAAAGCTAAATCTATAAATTTTAATCTTGGGTACCAAACAGGTCTCTTTTCTTAAGTTTTGCTTTCAAGAGGTATAAACGTTCTCTACACCCCAAAAAAAAGGTACAGGACGAGTAAGACAAATTTTTATATATACAATGATATATGAAAAAACTTTTCAATGATAAATTTTATAGAATTTGAGAAACATTTAAGAAAAGTTTTATATAATTTTTGTCACTTTTCTTAAATTGTATAAAATAAAAGCAAGAAATTTTATAATACTTTTTGATAAAATATCGTATTTAGTTCAGTTTACTGTGATATTCTGGATACATGTCTGAAACATGTACTCTACTTTGTATGTGGTGTCCACGGATTATAGTGTATTTCATATACAATACGTTGATATTTTATACTCTCATAGGTTTCTTCATAATTGTCTTTGGATCCACAATTTGTATGGCTGTTACTTTGCTTCTTGACGGTTAAGTTTCAAATTAATTCAATAAAATTGATTTGGCGACAATTTGAGATTTGGAACTTTGTTGTTTTTAGCCATTTTTTCGTTACAAAAAATGTCTGCTTTAAGTATCAGTTTGTGATTTGGTTGTAAGTTTTATCATCTATATTTTAACAGTGATGTATAAAGAGGTCTAGATATATATATATGTTTGTTGTTAATAATAACAACACTTTACTCTCTTTAGAGAAAAGTAAAAACTATCGTATATTATGGACGTATTATATTATAAATAATATAACACTATAAAAAATATCTTTACTTCATAAAAGAACTACCGAGATATTATAAAGTGTTATCAAACATACAACTTTTTAAACAATTTAAATTGAAATTATTTCCTTACGCTTATGTTACTACCCTCGTCTGTATAACAATTTCAGAAATCAAAACAATTCCAATATATTAAACTCATGTTACATTATTTGTAAAACTCATTCCTGTTGTTGGTTTTCTTTTTTGTTGTTGCTGGCAATTGTTGATGAAATAGAGTTGCTGTTTCATGGCAACATTTCCAAATCACGTCCGCAATAATTTTTACTTACTAAATTCTATGCTGTTTCAGGGTGTGTATGGTGTGGATGCCTGTGTTTATATAACTTCATGTGTTGGCCCGAATAAGCATGCTTGTTTACTTAGCCATAATTTTATCTGTCTATTTGTAGTTCAGCACTGATATGTACTCGCATTGTATCTATAACTTCAGCCTGCTGATATCTGTATCTGTATCACGATGTTAAGCATTCTTCAGTACTAACATTGATTTTGCAATGATAACATGGAAGTTGTCTGTTTCATTTGAAAAATTCTTGTTGCCTGCTTGTTTGTTTTTTCTTTTATATTTATTTTTCGGTTAACGTCTCTCAGAGATGTATCACAGTCACGTTGGTAAAAACTAGAGAACTACTCAAATGATGTTTGCATACAAAATATTTGAAAACCACAGTAGAAAATGTAAAAAAACAAAAAACTTAATAAAGGCACTGTAGAAATTATTAACGTAAATGAAATTATCTAAAACATGTTGTTTTTTGTGTGTTTAACATCTGGTTCTCTTTTTAAATCTTAGTTCAACTTTATTTACATTTAAGTGAATTTCAGATGAAGTTTTATTGTATATTCACTAGGTGTTACATAGAGATTAACATGTTCAGTAGTTTAAGGTTGTACATAAAAAACACTAAAGCATCAACCATTAATATCAGTAATGTTTTATGTTTTTCATACTACTCGTAGTACATAATATTAAAGCAATGTTGATAGTAAATGTTGAAGAGTTTTAAAAAATGTTTATACACACACCTCTAAACCGTTTTTAATTCTCATATGACTTAGCAAAATTTGTGAGTTTTTGTGGGAAAATGCAGTTTGCTACAGAGAGCATGATTACAGGAAAATGGTGTGTGATAGAAGGATAACTCTTCACCAAAAAATTAAAGCAAATTTTAAAATAGTATATGGCTTAAGCTATTTAAATAAATTGACTTTGAGGTATTAAAGGTTTATGCTACCGAAGGTTTTTTGTGTTGATTTCAGTCTTCTATAAGTGAGTTAATTCAGAAAATGGATTACTTCTGCCTTTTTTTTATTAATTAAAATCGTGTCTGTTTTAGTTTAATAGACTAATTATTAATTTCATTTAATAATTCTAGTAATATTTATTCAACAATTCTCATGTAATTATCGACTTAATTTTTTTACATTCGCACATTGATGGACAATCAATATATATGAGATTGTTTGGTCAGAACATGGATCAATTTCGAAACACAGGAAGAAGAAAAAAGGTTATATTGATTGGCTTGGTCGAGAATATACAGTTTATTGCAATTACAATCAATGTTATTTTTGTAGGATATATAGCTTATAAAAGTATAAAGCGAAAAATATTTTACTTTAGGAGTAGCAAAGAATAATTATTAGGACAACTATAATCTGATAACTCAAAATATAATTATTGCTCATTTTATACCAACCGGTATTGATGTTTTGTTGAAAAACGTCATTTAAAAGTTGTATGGACTCTTTAGTTCGAAGAAGTCAATAAATCACAGTTTAAAAACATCAAGACAAACTTAAAATGCTTATTATGTGTATAAAATGTATTGGAAATATAATGTATTAGATGGTCATACGTTTTTTAATATATATATAAAATCTTCCTTAAATACACTAGCAAAAGTAATTAAAGATAACGGTTCCTATGTCTACACCAGAAGGTAATGACTAGTTCTTTACATAAAATTTGTAACTTGTTCTGTCCCTCTCTTTTTCTAGTTGAGTATTAAGTCGAATATAAAGCTATTTGTGGGGCAAATCAAGAATGTGCTTTTATTGGGTTGTAAGTTTCTCTATTCTCTATTACCGCTGGTTGATTATATTAAACGGGAATGTGAGATAGCAAAGCGCTAAGAATCTGTTAATCCTTATAAGATTTATGTCATAGGTACTGAATCTAGATAGAATCTATCTATCTAGATACACAAATTTTCAAACAATGATAACAATCAATTTGGAAGAATTTAGGAACATGTTAAATAGATGTTATATATCTTTAACTTTCTAAAGATCTTATTATGGTGTCATGTATCATCTGATTATGGGGTATAAAGTTACTACATACATACTAAATGATTTTCTGTTTAGTTTCGCTCTCTTGTAATAAAAAAAATCTACAATAATTACTAAGTTTGCCCCGCTGGAAGCCAGCATCCTGTTGGTTTCTATTTCTATATACTTTCTCCTTTATATGAAGAAATTCAGTTTGAAGAAAGAAAAATTTTACCTGATAATTAATAAATAAACAAGATAGTTAAGATACTGTAAAAGTAAGTTTTCTACATAGTAATAAAAATCAAGTAACTTTTTCATATGCAATAAATTACATACTTGTCTAATAAAAAGATACAATATACAATATTTATTACTTAATAAACTTATGAAAATATTATCGCTGAGCTATTAACTAAACCTGTTGTTAAATGTAGTATTTACTGCTTAGTTAAGAAGTATTTCTTCTTAATGCTTTAAATTTATTTTAACTGAATATTTTGATGACGTCTTCTACAGAAATTGCAATTTTTTCCCCAATCTACTCTAATGTAAACGTACTTTTGATTAATTAACTTTGAGTATTATAACAGCATTTTCTGCACTAATTGGCTGCGTTGGCAGCATTCTAAGCTCTTGTCAACATGTTGACAATTCTGAAAGCAACATGAATATTGTCAAAAAAGAAAAAAAAAACATGTTCATAAGAATTGTACAAAAATGGAATAATTATAAAAAACAAAAATTTGTTAAAAATGGATGCGGCAGAAATAATTAGACCTTATTTCTCACAGATGAGAATATGATGAGATAAACTAATTTAATTTCATGTTTTGTGCTAAATATAAAAATAATTTTCTATGCTTCTTCATGCTGAGATGCATGTAGATTTCAGTTATGCTTTCTTTTGATTTCTAATTTTACAGTAGTGAATATATTTTAGCCAAAATGCATTTAATGCATAATTTTCTGTATTTTCTGTATTTTTTATTTATTTTTATTTTTATGCATAATATTAACAAACCGAAATATATAATTACACATAAACATTTACAAATAATAATGTTTGTGTAGTTGTAGTAAATGCATTCTAATGATTATTTGAAGTGAAGGAATGAAGTGTACTCACCTTAGGCAATGATGCTAGTACCTGTTGTTTAACATCCCAAACCAAGCGTTCCGATGGAAATTGCAAACATTTGTAAACGTTCAGTTCGGGCACATGAATGCGCACCAGTAGCCAACCGTCACGCGGTTCCGGTGGCGGTTCGTCATCAAAGCCCGGCCCTGAACTGTTGTCCATGTTGGCCGGGTTTTGTTTGACTTTGGGGGTGGGTGGGTGATACGTCGTAATTTTGAATATTTTTGCAGTTTACGGTCACAGGAATTCAAAGTAAAATTTTTCTACTTATCGTAGGTCGTTTACGCTTGCGTTGAGGCGGGTGGCAGCTACTTAGCTTATCTTGAAGTGCGTTTGCCCCCTCTTATAATGCTCTTAATATTAAAAAAAATTTTTTTTTATTTTGGCTATATTTCGTAGTTGCTTATGATAAGAATTATTATTACTAATATTTTTTTTTTTTTTATTTAATTGCAGTTGAGCTCAAATATGCAATTTGCTGTAGCGGCGCGTACATTTTTTTAAGTGGAAATTAGCCTCAAGCTGTAAAGAAAAAGAGGGGGAAAATATTATTAGAATCTAAGTATGTATTTATATAATTTTTAAAATAAAAATGTATAGTAAATTGTCATCTTTGTAAGAAAATAGAGCGGAATTAATCAAAACTAGTATACAAATAATTTCATTATTTTTTTTTTAAATTACAGTTTATTAATTAAAAATATTAGCTAATTTAGATGACTTAGGATATTTAGCAAATGTAGAAATATGTATTTAAATATCATCTAATTATGTTGATTTTAATAGCATATACAATAAATCAAAAAATATGCACATTAAAATTTAATGATATGTATATAAAAATTTAATTAGTAAATAAATTTGATTCATAAGTTGAAGTATAATATTTTACTTTCATACTCGACAAGTTTAAATTTATACATATAAAAAAAAAATAATTGTAAAAGTATAAACCTTAAGGTGTAACTACTACTTTTTAGTTATAGATAAATAAATTAATTTATATCTTTCTTTGTAATATTAAATAGTTTAATATTTTAATTCATATTTACTTTAACTCGACCTACTTCACAATCGCTCCGAACACCTGCCCATTCGACTCAGTATGTAATTTTGTTCAAAATAATTTATTTATTGATTTCTAAAAGAAAAGTAGTACTAAATTCAATTGGGACAACAGCTGTCTAATACCATTTTTCAACAGATACACTATATACATTTACACTAAAAATATAAAATTTATGAAAGGAATACCTAAATCAATTTATTTTGTTTCAATTATATGAATTAGTGAAATTAGTAAAATTAGTAGAGTTCGAAGCGGCTATTATATTCTGTAAAGGGCATTACATAAATAAACTAATTTAGTTCAATTATTTAATTATTAATTATTATTAAAATAGTTAATGAATTTGTAAGTAAAAATATTAGTTAAAAAATAAAATAAAATGAGAAATAAAAGATAAAATTAATAAAATTAATTAAAGTTGTGTTCAGCATTTTTTATATATTCATATATTTATAATTCCAGATCTGTGATTCTGAATTTATATACACATTTAAACATAATATATATTTATAATATATCCTGAACCATGATTTCAAAGAACTTAGCATGTATAATTGTTCCAGCATAATTGTTATGTTCCTGTTTTTTTGATTACTTGGAGAAAGTATAAGCATGAGCCTTACATTAATCAAAACTTGACCCATAAGCTTGAGTTTATTCAATTATAATAAAGCAGATAATATAGATAAATATCTCAAGAGATATAAAAATCAAAAAAAATTTGTTCTAAAACAATCGCAAGCGGTTAAAATTTTTTTCAGTGTAAGTCTGAGTTAGTGTGCTTTGAAATATATAAAATGCATTTTCAATAATATTAACATAGAGAAAAATGCATTTACTTGTAGCAATCAGTACTTTGTCTGAAAGGTTTGTAAAACATATATGCATGATATTTATACGTCTATATTTCTTAAATTGTATAATGTATTTGATTACATTATATCTCTTCAATAAACAGCTGGTTTCACTTTAAAAGCAGATCTATTTAAAAAAATATGCTTTAGAATTATAAAAAGTAATGTATCTATCTACTTATCAAAGGCTTAAAATTAATTTAAACAACAACAAAAAAACAAAGAATCAAATGAATAATGTAAACAGTGTATTACAATGAACAGACTTGACAGATTTTTTTATGATATAAGTAACAAATACATCTGATAAATATATAATAAAATTATATTAGATTATTTGTTAATGACTGAATAAATTAAAAACTGTTTTAGAAAGAAAAGACTTTCAATTAAATTTAAAAGAAAGTGCTATGTAAAAAATTTCAATTTATATTAACTATAATAATATCTCATAATTATATTTTAACATTTGTAGATATTTGTAGATATTCTATGTAAAAAATACTTTTGTGAAAATTATATAAATCATAAACGTTTACTTTTAATATCCATTTTTGGCAACATGGGCGAGATTCCTAGCGCTGATGAAGTGAGTATCTAGATACATTTGATTTATGGTATATAATATATAAGTATATTTGTGAATGTATAGATTCTAGAATGTTTTATAAATGATACAACTGGTGATTTTCTTAATATATGTTTGACGGCAAACAATACACTTATTTTTCGTGATAACAGAGAAGACAACGCAAATGTTGAAGAATTAGAAATCAGAGATTGGTATACACAATTCCAAGAATTCTATGAAAATCGTGACAGATCATACGATAATGTAAATGATGAGCACTTTAATGTAATTAGGGGCTTTAATTGCTTTATATTCGCTCAAATTATAATAAAATCTCTCACAGCACAAATTAATTAGAAGATTAATGGATAAAAGATGTATTTAAATGCAACGAAAAGACTTAACAAACATTAAACATTAAGTTTAATATAAATTAATGTTTAATGAAAAATTTTTAAAATTTTTAGTAACATAATAAAATTAAAATGTAATAAATACACATAAAATTATAATGTAATAAATACCATAAAATTATACTATATGCTTAAATGCTTAAATTAACATCCTTCATAAAATATGTGTCATTCCAACTGTTAGTAGATAAATAACCATGGTTTTCGTAGAACATTTCTTTTTTTTTAAATAAATTAATAAAAAATAGTGTCAATGTTCAGTAAACATAGGGTTTCATATATTATTTGAGCTGATAGAAGCTTCGAGCACTTTCATTTTCGAGTATGCTTGGCTCGAGTATAGGAAACTACTCGTTAGTGCTCCAATACCATATTGTGTTTGAATATTTGTATAAAATGGAATAAAAATAATATGAAACTTCTAGCAAATGTTGAACATCAAAAGTTTTGATCCAGTATAGGAAACTACTAAATAATGCTCCAATGATATTGATTTAATCAATATTAGTAATACATGAATTCTTTGAAGTATAGGCATGAAAATTAATTAATCATTAATATTATCAAGTATTAACACTTCGACTCATCCACAAATATCACACATTATTAATGGGCTCAACTTGTCGGAGAGATTCATCCACAAATATCACACATTATTAATGGGCTCAACTTGTCAGAGATAGATTCATCTTAAGGCAGATTCTTAATTTGTTGTACTAGTAATATTTGAAAACATTTCAACAATATTTTTCCAATATAAATCAAAGGTAGTTAATTTTTGAATTACTTTCTTATTCAAAATTCTTATTCCCTCCATTGGAGAGCAGTTGTTAATACAAATAACAACACATCCACTCACCCGCATCTCCCATTATAATAGGCTCAAGTTGTCAGAGAGAGGGTAACCTAAAGGCAGATTATTAATTTATTGTACTAGTTATATATGAAAACATATAAGCCATATTTTTATTTTTTAAAAATTCTTATTCCCTCCGTATTATTTTTATTTTAAATTAAAAATAACCAACTATGAAAAGTCAATTGTTAACTAAATTGCAAATAACTATAATTACTTTTATTGATAAACTAATCTACATAACAGAACTGCATTGAAATATTTTGAATTTGGATTTCCAAACCCTAAAATAACTCAATTATATTAAAAATTAACAAAATTATTTTAAAATTAAAATCATTATTGAAATTTTTTGTTCATTTTTTGTCTATTGAGTTATCGGCATTTGATTTGTAGCAAAAAGTTTATTGCCTACCCACACAAAGTAAACAGCCCACAGGCAAATGTCAAACCGGTAGTTGTCAAAACGTCAATGGCACAAAGAAAAGCGCAAATTCAAAAGATAAATGCAATCATAGTCAACTGAACGCATTTCGGAGAGAATTACGGCAATGGCTGGAGTACCGAATATTGAATACTGAATAGTAAAATATTGAATGAGGGATTTCTAATTTAATTCGGTGCGAATATGGTTCTAGCAACCGTCAAGCTTAGTTAGATATTCATTAAGTGTTATTTTAATGAGTGTCAACGTCAGACTCGTTGATTTTAGCGCTCTTTCGCAATTAGTTATGCAGATATCAATTGCACTATATTCCATACAAACAGAAACTAAGTAAATTCAGTAGATTCATTAAATTTTACAATTTTACTATATAAATATTATCATCAATGGCTGGTGTATTTGCATGAGGTCCATGCAACCTGAATATCACACACGTTTGACATTAAGCATACGATGCAGTTTTTGGGCTTTGGTGGACGTGCTGAAATCAGAGTTGGTTATGGACACTGGATTAAATATTATATAATGTTTTCCCAGTAATTATATAAATAAGCTTGAAGTAAATTTTTGAAAATTGTTAAGAAGTGAGATATTTATTGAGACACGAATTGTAGGCAAATAATCGACACATATTAATTTATTGTAAAATTTTTACGCATATTTCATAATCTTCATACTATGAAGATTAAATAAGAGTTAAGGCTCTTTTGAGGGGAGACTCAAAGGTGTAATATTTTTGTACGATTAAGTCAAAAGTCATGGCATAAAAGCGAAAATTTAGTGCTGGAGTTAAGAGAGATAATCGTTTATGAGAGTGTACAGGTTTTACAGTATAAGAAATATGAAGTTAAAGTAAGTCAAATGTTATCACAGAAAAGCGATATAATCAGGAACTTCCATAACAAGTGGCTAAGATAGAGTTATGGCACTGCAATATGATTTACTCATTTTATCTATTTACAGTTTTTTGAGATAAATAAAGGTTATGTTATGTATAGAGTCATGGACTCGTCAAAATTGTTTCTTTTGCTCTTTGACAAAAATGCATGTTATGTAGAATGTCACAGAAACTGTAATAATTTGCTTCTGAAAGACACAAATGTTGAAATTTTTTGCTGAATAACACTACTTTGCCTAAGTGACGAGGCACAGATAGCCTCGGATCGCATGACCAAATTGGAACCGACATATGGTTTTTTCTCTCACTCTCACAATCGACGTTTATAGCTGTTTCAAAGCACTGGAAAGTATTTTTCAAAGCAGTATGTTGCAATTGATGATTGATGTGTTCATCATAACGATACCATCGATTAAAATAAGTAGTTTTTTGGATGGACTCCATATGAAGGAGAGAAGTGATTTTTTAGCAAGATAATGTACCATATCACAATTCGATCACAATACTGGAAAGATTGGATAGAGAATATTAAATTGTTTCTTTATTCAGCATATTTTTTGGTTTTAATGACTAATATCTGTTAACAAACTTTGAAAAAATGTTCGAGGGATTAGAAATTACCATCAGTCAAAATACGATTCTTGGTTGGTTGGTTACAGTGGCAGGCCATTAGTGAACTTCCATTTAACTTCATTAGAATTTTTTATCGTTTTGCTACCACATTACTCGCAAGAACCCCTTAGATAAAAGAGTATAGACTAAATTCAGAAGCGATTGCTAAAGTGAAAACTATTTTAAGGCCAAAGAATCATCCTAATATTTAAATGGTGTTAGAGTGATTATATAGTATCACTTCTGAAAGACTGTGTTGTTGTATAAAGACCTATTTTGCTCAGTTGTAGTTGTTTAATAATCATTCTAAGAATTCATGACGTGATGTGTTAATTTATTATTCTTTGTGTGACTTATATTTATATTTTATATAAAAACTCAAATATTTGACATTCTCTGCGGTTTTGGCATAATAAAAAAGCTATATAATTGGCATGAATATAGTAATCAAAATAAGAAAAAATTAGAGTAAAACTTAAAATTGATAAAGCCGAAAGTAAGTAAACAGAAATAAAACAATAAATGATAATAAAATGAATAATAACCTCGTCTGGAAGTAAAACGCATAATGTATAAGAATTTTTATCAGTGTACAAGTGAAATTTTAATACGCTACTTAAAGGCGATATGGTACTTAATATGTCAAGGACTTTGAGTTACGTTTTGTAAAGTTCACTGATTAAAATTAAAAAGTTGCATTGAAAAGAGTATTTGTCATCGCCCAAAAAAATAAAATTAAAACAGATATTAAAATCGTAATAAAACAGGCGAAAAAACAGAGGCATTTTAAAAAATAACACAATTAGCCTTTTAGCTAATTTTGATAACTAACGTGTTAATAAAAATAAATTCATTTAGAAAAATGTTTTTATTTTTTTTTTAAATTTGCTCTTTTGTTTCTGAACTCATAAAAACCAACAGTTTAAGTCATAAAAATTTCGGCAAAAAGTGCTTTCAGCACAATGCGAAATTCTGCTATGCCAAATGCAAAATCAATATTTTGAGGCAGAAAACAAACAACACTAAATAATGTAAATATAAAATTTAATTAAAATAAAGCAAACAATGTTAAATAAAACAATGTTAAAATACATACCTAAAATCAAAGAACTAGAAACATCAAAATAAATTAAAATAAAGATAAATAAAAAATTTATTTAATAAAATAAATAAATTTAAATAAATTGTAAATAAAAAGCGTACAATAAATTGTAAACACCCACAAAAAATGCAACTCTATTATTTTTGCTCAGTTCAAGCTTCATTTATTAAATAATATTTCCAATTAGTTTAGGAAAAAAATCTCTACATCATTTGTTAAACTAATTAAACAGCACATTTAAATTGTCACATTGCATATGAATTGCCGTACTAAAAATAATTATATCGAACTATAACTTCAGTAATGTTGTAAGCGCCTTCATATTACACATGCAAGCAGTTAATACTTAACTTAGCTTAATGTAAGTAAAACTCAAAGTGATAGCTACCAGCTAACAGCAACAAAAATGTTAACAAAAAATAGTATATAGTATAGTATGGTAGTATGCGATGTAATCTGCTTAAGGTCATCCACATTCAATGGAATTAAAATATTGGTATTTATCTGATAGCGGTCGCCCTCAGGATAAACCTAAATAAGCACGTCAATTCTACCTATAATTATAGTCGCTAATAGCTAAACATCTATAACTAAAAATGTCCGGTCTTGTTAGCTTTATAGTATGATACCTACAAATCGAATAAAAAACAAGGCTTATTTTATCACCATCGGTAAGTTTGATACGCGTTTTATAACCAGTTGTACACCCTTTTAGCATTGAAGCATTAGCTAGAGTAATATACGATTGCTTTACGTTTCAGAGATCTAGAAAGTCAAAGATACTATCTGCCGGAAACTGCAAACATTTTTAAACAAGTGCCTCAAAATAAGCTATAATGACAATATGTTATATAAAACTTCACGGACAGTCTCGCTAAAACAAAAACAGAAATAAAGAAATAAAATTAGTTGTAGATAGGGCAAGATGTGGTTTTCAATAAATTACCTCCGGTACTTGACAATTGAGTCAATTTAGGCAAAGATGGGTGTTAACTATCGTCGGACAAAGCTGACATAAAACATTATATGCTGCAATACGTTTCATTTTAGAGGACAGAGACCGTTACATAGATTTTC